AATGCATCTGAATTTTAATGAATTCAATATTCTACCGACTTCTTCATACTCTATGTCACCGTATTCTATAGATAGTTGATGATAATTACGTTCCAGCCACTTGTTAGTTTTACGACTTTTGTTRTCCTCCATSGATTTTGAATGTTTAAAAATCCAGTGTTGGGTCGCCCAAGTTTCTGTGTCTACTATAGTCATTTCTTTAATCATGTATTTATTGTTCAAGCCAAGAATGCATTGCATGTCCAAGATGGCTGAAGACATTATGGCTTGTCTTTATAATAAGTTTCTATAGTGTTAAGGCGGCTCAGTATAGCTGGTATTATTTTATTAATCTCAACTATAGTTTCTTTGATATTTTGTAATGATATTTCGCCTCTTGTCATATGCTCTGTAATCTCTATGCACTTTAATTCTAACTTTTCTGTTGGTTCCTCTTGAATTAGAATAGATTTATGATTTTCTTCAAGTAAATGCTCAATTTTATCGAGTTTATTCGAATACGATTTAATAATTTGTTCGAGATTTACTAAAAATTTATTTGTTTCACTAGACTGAGAACTACCAAACACGTTMATGTCTGTAGCTAGACTGACACTATTTCCTCATGTCACTTGTATTTATCCAACTATTGTGCGTATTATCGAACCCTAGCCATTTCACAAAAATTTTGTCCCCCTTCTTACGTATAACTTTCTCTACTAAGTAGTCATTTGGATAGTTTGTTTTCAATATTTCTTCTGAATAAAAGCAGCCAGCAATTGGTTTTCCAGTATAATCTTGCAATTGATAAGTGGTAGGTAATGTTTCATTAATTTTAGCAATTTTAAATATTTCTGTAGACCAGCTAGGCAAATAGCCTTTTGCAAATACACCTTTATATGTGCTTACACGAACGTTATCACCAACGTTTAATTTAATTTTTCCATCAATAATTTTTCTTTGTTTAATTTTGACTGTCGTTGGATCTGCATCAGCTTGCACTGGTGTCATGCTTATGGTCCTGTGTTTTGAGTTGTTGTACTCGTTAATCAATGAAGGTAAAATAGAAATCCATTCGTGTGAACCTCGTGCCGTAAACTCTCTAAACATTTTTTCTTTCAATGTGCGGTTGAAACGTTCTACAATACACGCTTTCATAGTACTATACTTAGAATACTTGTGTATGTTGTGCTTCTTCATCAAGGCATCGAATGTTGAATTGTAAAATTCTTTACCATTATCGAGCTGTAATAATTTTGGTGAGCGTTTGRCCAGTATTTTAGACATTGCACTGGAAACTTCTTTAGCAATTTTGGATTTTAACGCTATTGCCCAAGCATATTTCGTAAAACAGTCTATCACACATAAMATATACTWGYACCCTTTATTTTTTTTCGAATATGGTATCATTTCGACCAAGTCGGCTTGCCATAGATCGTTTTTGCCATAAACATTAACCCTACGCCTTGTATATTTTTTTCTAGCTGGTTTGTGTAATTCGATTGAGATTTCACGTTTAGACATTTGGAATAAGTTTTATTATCCCTGCTTCACGCAATTCTTCGAAAATCGAGATTATTTCGTTTAAAACTCCTGTATTACCAGCTGCTTTTGACGCCAATAGTAACTTCAATCTATCGACTAGCTCGTTAGGATCGTTCCAGTATACTAAATTATGWTTTTGTAATTTGACTGACAGTCCAGCGCCCGATGGAAACAGATTTTGGATTAAATCCGTGTATTTATTTCCACMTCTTTTAATTTTTGTTCCGTCTGCTTTAAGATGAGCTGACGTTTGAGTTAATATTGATTTATATGTTTTTAAATCGTTTTTGGTATACAGTTTGGTAGAGGTAGTTTGGTAAAGCTTTCTCAGGTTCAATAACTTGTTCGTTTTCATAGAACGTAAATAATCCAACATCAGTGCCCGATAATATATCACTTAGCATTTTATATTTAGGTTGATCCAATGTTTTTAAATATATGTATACGTTGTGAAATCTTATTCCATTTATATGCGTTAATAACGTAAATATTAAATTAGTTTTCCCACAGCCAGAAGGACCCACGATAAGCGCACGTATCGTATTAGGTAGAAGCGATCCATGTCTCTGTTTCTTAAACGATGTAGGAGGATCCACGTTTTCAACTGTGAGTTTTATTCCTTGTTTGATGAACTTCATTATAAATAACTGAGCAACGACGAGAATGTAATCAGTACACAATGTCACTCGCTCGAAGAAGCACCAAGAATAAGGGCGGTGGGCTTATCAACACGCTTATAAGTAAATTACCAATCGAGCTGCACGTGCCTTGTATTTTTTTTTCTAAACATGATWATATTATATTTTCTTACTATTTTTTTTTATTTTAGGATATCAATACTGTGGGCCTGGTGCAAATTTAAAAAAACGATTAGCTCGAGGCGATAAAGGTATAAACCCACTGGACTCTGCTTGTAGAGATCACGATATTGCGTACGAACAGAGTAACTCTATCGCAGATCGTAACAAAGCTGATTATATATTAGAGCAGCGAGCCTGGGATAGATTCAAGTCGAGAGATTCCAGTCTAAAAGAAAAAGCTGTAGCTTTGGGCGTAACTACCGCCATGAAAGCAAAACGTAAAGTAGGTGGTGGTTGTGGATACAAAGCAGCGATCAAAGCAGCTAAAAATGTTATCAAGAAAAAAGTCAGTGAAAAAAAATTTATGAAATTAAGTAAAAAATGTGTAGCCGTCGCGCGAAGAACATTCAAAATTAAGAAGACCAAAGTTCCACGAACAATAAATATTCCGAAAAAAGGCGGTGTGAATCAACTTTGGTGAATTCAACATTGATATAGTTTAAAAACATTTCGAATTGTTTTAAGACAGCTGGTTGTGTCATAATTGATTTTTGTGTAATCGTTTCAAATATGCACCATTCCAAATACTTAAGTTGTATAAGGTGCTTCCGATTCAACAGTACTCTGCACCCGTCCTGAGTTTTTGATTCTATCACTATCACATTTTCTCCGCCATACACCATACTGGATATTTTATAAAGTTCGGTTTCCAAAAATAACGTGCGCTTATATGTTAGTGTCTGCTCCAATACGAATGACAGCATATTACCCATCAGTGAAAATATACGTTTTAGAAAATCCGGTGTTATTTTGACATGCCGCGATGGGGTTAAAAAATGTACAACGACCTGGAATTGTTCGCTCGGGTCAATACCGATATGCACAAACTTACGGTTCGCAAAATCCAGTGTGTAATATGTAGATTCGATAAGTTCGGTCGGTGGTGATGGAGGTACATAAGTAAAATTCTTCTTGTACACTGCA